AACACTGAAAAGTTAAAACAATATTACAATTAAAGACACTGAGTAGTTGGCGAGTTTGGTTGACAAGACAAACTCACCCACGCCCGACCACGCGTGCATGCCTAGGCCCAAGCATAGCACCCAAAATATTCAGAAGGGCGAATCTCCACTCTTATAACGAGCACACCTTCATCCCGACATGGATAACTCAATCAAGCTCCATAGTCCTTGTGCCACGATAATAGAACGTCCGACTCGCGATGGGAGGTTCACGTCTCCGAACCCAGGTCCCTCGAAATGAGACCTGGGTTCTGGACCATGCCCGGTATTCACCCTGGCCATTTGATCAGTTTCCCCATACTGACGAACATACCAAACGAGCAAATCCCCGCTATAAACTCTTAGAAAATAAAAAACGTCTTAAACAGGCTAGTTTGTCAACAAACATGTAAACAACACAAGTTAAATATTCAAAGCAAACGGCCATTGGCCGGAAATAAAACAAAACGACCACTTGGGCCACTAATGTACGAATATTACAACAAAGAGGATTTTAACGTCCCATCCAAAAAGAATAAATTTGTGGCCAGAGACCACACTTGTTCAAAAATTACATAAACGGGCAAAAGCCCGGAGAAACAAGAATACAACAAATACGGCACGCAAGCCAGAATAAACAACAAACAACCATCCTCCGGCTTCCTCTTCGGTGGCGGGAGACAGTTGGGCAAGACCCCCGGTCGGCTGAGCGACAAACTCCTTGAGATAATCAGGGACCAGAATCTTACGGGCATCCACGTAATAATTGACCCTAATTCCTGAGGTGTTGAGCTCAATATCGGGGTTCAACATGCGCAACTGCTTTAGAATGTTTTTAAAGCTCCCATCGGAAGCAGCCTGAGCATCATCCACAGCCAACTGAAAACGAGCAACAAGCTCGGCCCGAGTCTTTAGATCTTTGGTGTCCTCCGGCTCGTCCTCGGCGAGCATAGTCTCAACAGTCAGGGCCGCCACCTTTTCCTCAAGGTCCTTTTTCTCGAGCAAGAGGATCCTGCGTTCCTTAGAGATTCTCCCCGATTCTTCGTCAAACAGTTTCTAGGCTTTTTCTTCCTTGACTCGGCGGGCCTTCTCGCTCGCAGCCAGCTTGGCCCAAAGATTCTTCAGCTCAACCTCCTGAGAGAAACTTCCCTCGGTATAGGCGACCGCTATTTCTAGGATCTGCATCAAACCGCCGACATCTTGCGCCAGCATCACCCTCTTCCCCGGGCGGCCCATTCCCTCAAGATAAAGGGACTCGGCCCAGGGAAGACGGAGGGCTGCACCCTCAAAGAAAGATTTCTCCAGCCAGAAGGGGGCAAGTCGTACATTCCCTTCCCCTTGTCTCCATTCAGTTCGACACTCCCCTTGGGATGCCGACTCTTCGCTTTAGAGGAAACGGTGGCAGGGGAAAGAGCAACTGTAGCTTGAGCCAATGATGAGTTGCCCGACCCCGAGGCAGGAGGCCCTGAGCCAGTCTGTAAATCCTTTTGAGCCATCATCGCTCTAGCAGCAAGAGTCTTGGCCAAACACTCTTGAGCGGAATTCATGTTATCTGTAAAACAAACGAAAAGAAACATAGTTAGTAAACGATGATTCAAATAAATGACGTTCACACATTACTGTTTAAACTACATATATACCCAAGTATTTAACGGGGTCCTCGCTCCCAAGGAGCTCTTTTACGACTATGAGGCCTGGCTCGTATACGGGCTCCCCATTCTTGTCAATCACTGGCCCGCCTCCCCTAACGACCCGTTGGACACGAGGGATCCGAGCCATAAACACAGTCAAGACAGCGAAACTCTCCAGGTCCTCGGATCTGAGCTCTCCCTCCAGACATATGAGCCAAATTCACTATCAAAATGTTTCCCCGTCCACTGGAATGGGAACTTGTAAATCAGTTTTACAACGGGGTCCCCTAGATCGTTCATACGGGGAGTACCATCCTCGTTATGCATCGACACGATTCTGAAGACGTCAACATCGCCTTGCTCGAAGAAGGCTGCAACAATATGTACTTGTCTTTAAAATGGAGGATGGACTCCAGGTAAGCTTTGAACAGCTTCTCGTTGCCTTGCTTCAGGGAGACCCATCCCCATTTTCTATCGACCTTGCTCATCTGAAGGTGGAAGCAGTAGAAGAACAAGGGAATGATGGCCCTTATCTTCAAGTAGTCACAAACTATTTCGAACGCTCGCATGAACGTGATGTTGTTCAGATGCAGTTGGGAAGGAGCCACGCGCAAGTGCCTGAATACGACCACCTCAAAATCAGAGAAGGGGAGGCGAAGACCCATCTCACGAAAAACGATGTCATACATATGAATCCGCCTCCTATCATATTTTGAACAAATTCTTCTCTCTTTCCCGGGGATGTATAACGACCATTCTCCTTGGTTCCCCTCCTCGTGAGTATACACGTCTGTAAAAACATCCCCCCGATTCTCAAAGAAATACGAAGGCCAGTCCCAGGGATCGTTCACGACCCGAGCCCGTGGATCCTCCTCGTCCCCGGGGGGAAACAAGCAATCTTGATCGGCGGAGGTCATCTCCATATTGCCTCCCTCTGTCTGCTGCTCCGACTGATTATGCGCATCCCCGAAAATCTCCAGGATGCTTGATGAGCTACTCGTCTCGTCTGAGAAACTTCTTGAAGATTGTGAAGACTCGCTCGAGAGATCGACCCAGGTGTTATCAGCCATAGTACCTGAAAAGCAGAGGGTAAAGATGAGTTTGACATCAATGTCAGAACCATCCTTCCACCGCTAATCAAGCGAAAGGCACTGTGAAACGAGGATCATATCCTCGACCAGAACCCTCACTAAGGCACATAAAACAGGCAGAAATTACACAAAAAGCCCTAAGCCCTAAGGTACCATCTAAAACATATCATGTAATGCCTGGGGAGATTCCACGACGGCTCCGGCGATTCTAAACTACAGAACTGCCGCCTACCACCAACACTCCCCAACGGCCTCCTTACAAGCGAAATGATAAACCCTAGTCGCATGCATTTCTAGAAAATAAACGGTGAAAATATGAACTACTAAAAGCGAACAACGATGGAAAACTGAAAACTTACCAGTTAGTAGAAGAAGAGAGGCTGGAAGTGGCAGTTGCGAGTGATAAAACTAAAAGAACGAAGGTGGTCCATGGTCAAGCTATTACGAGCAGTTGAGAGAGAAGATGAAAAACAATAAACACCCTGCTTCTCTCGTATTTATAGCTAAAGTCGTTCATGCGTGTGAGACATGCGCCTGGGAAACCCTAGGGTCGTCATCATTACACCCTAGCCCCTAGGTCATCATTGCACCGCTTCGCTGACATACTTCCCAAAACACGCTACCTCTCTAAATTCCAGGGTCCTAACGACCAACTCCGCATCTCCTCACAAGAAAGGTGTGACGGGCAACCCTCATTTCCCCGTAAGACGCGCTATGTTCCACGAGCATGTGTTAAAGTCATCACTCCTGTACTCAGAAGCAACGACTTGGGGGGCTACTATTATGGACTGGCCCGACAGCTTGAATGAGCCTAGTCTAAACCTTTCCTTTGGTACGGCCCGCACGTCCATGACCTGAACTGCCATCTATCTATCGGGCAATATCGATCATTTGCCCTCTCAAGCCAGCACTGGCCTAGGATGATCGACGAGCATCCTCTCATCCTGTCCGACATCAACGTCGTGCAGGCCACCAGGAACCGATCAGAGAGATGCCCGTAACTGACTCCCTCCTCGAAACCAATGACCAGTTACGGGCACATATGCCCGGTTTGACCAAGTCTTGGCAGTTACATGATTTTAGGGACCCACATATCCAGGCGTGAAATCAGGAACCAATGGTCATGCGCCATGAGCATTATATAAATCCTCACACCTGTGAGGGCTAGATATCAAATATTTACTATTCACCACCAATACCTTAACATTTTACTTGTATCTCCTTGTTCCCACTCTTACTTGATCGTCAGAGTGCCTTGCAGGTACAATCCCATTTTTCTCTCATCGACATCACAATCCGACTACAGATCATCTTCCAGCCACTTCACAGATTCTGATCAACTAGTAAGATCAAATATGTTATCTAATTCTTATTAATACGTTGTAGGTTTAAAATGTAAATGGAGTGTTCAATACAATTATTTCATTCAATGACAAAAAAAAGTTAATCAAAACATTAATAATTAATTAAGTTTGACATATCTTTAAATAAGTCAGTTAAGGATGTGTTTGAATTGGCGGTGGACAGAATTGATTATGACATAATTGAGTTTGATAAAATTGATTTTATCAGAATTAAATTTATCATAATTGATTTATGTTTGGATACATTTATGTAAAAGTGAGTTGAATAATAAATTTCAGTATAAAAATCATCCAAAATTAATTCTGGAGGCAAAAACTACAAATTATAACTTCAAGTAAAATCAATTCTAAAGATAAAATTAATTCTACTTTTGTCTAACCAAACATCTTAAAATCATTCCAAATCAATTATACACTTCTAGAATACTTTTGACCATTTTAAAAGGCAAACCAATCATACACTAAATCGGTTATACCAAAACATTTAATTAATTAAGTTTGACCTATCTTTAAATAAGTCAATTAAATTGGTTATACCAAAACATTCTTTAGTTTGATTCAAGCCTTTATTTTGTACTCCCTTGAGATTGGTCTTTCCCTTGTGGATTTACATAGTTCCAAAGTAGGGACTTCCATTCATATCATTTACCATGACCTCAGTAAAAATTGGAAGAATTCATTAATTATTTCATGAATATATCCTCAATAAATAAATACTTAAGATTAAGACATTTTAAAATATGACATGAGATGGAGAGACATTCAGCTGGTCCCACCAAGATTGCAACCTTGTCTAAATGGACCCCGGCACCCTATTTATTACAGCAACACGTGAAAAAGCAGTAAAAACATCGTATCCTATGTAACGGTTACATTTGTAACCAATAAAAAACAAATCAACAACTATTAGGTGAAAACCCAATCACAGACTTAACAAGATCAAAACTCACACGTGTCCCTTGCTGCTGAATATTCCCAATAATCGACAACGACCCCATCGTTGGAGCAAACGCAAAACAAAACGTCCCCACCGAATCAACCGGTACCAGGTAATTCTTCGCCGGTAACACCAAAACCTTCCCTTCCCCAAAATGAAACGCCACCGTCGGAACCTCCACACTCGACCTCAACGACAAATCATAACAAGTATCAAACAACGACACGTCGTTCGCCGCCGGTAAATCCCTCGTCCCCCTCAAAAACGCGTCGCGTACAACATCATAAACATCGCTCCGCAACCGTGTCACCGCCGTGCCGGAGTCAACTATAACCCCTCCACCCTCCGTAGTATCCACCATAAAACTACTTTCCGGAATCGGAAGTAACTCCCCGCCGACGCTTATTCCGACGAGTCCCACAAAGTAGAAAGTGTTCATCTCAGGATTACGCTTTAGCGGAGCTGTAACGGCGTTACGAGATAACGGAGAATCAAACTCTAGCGTTGAGACTAAATCAGAGTCACGATCAACGAGACAATATGAAAACGAAGTTGAATTAAGCTGAGCCGGAAAAGAAAGTGGGCCGCCGCCTAAGCCGAGTAAACCGGCTGCACCGACGAATAAGCCTTCGTTGTTATGACCGCAGCCGATGGCGATATTGTTCACGGAAGTCGCGCCGATTGTAACCGTTTCTGTGACAAAGTCGCCGACGGTGTATGAGCCGTCGCCGTAGGAGACTTCATAGAGACATTGACCGTTGTGACATTGAGATTGGTCGAGCCATTTGCATTGATTGGCTTGACAAGTGATTGGCGTGTAAGAAGCCGATGAAGATGGTTCAAAAATAGGGTCGGCTTGACGGTAGCAGTCGGCGCAGGGTGCGCATTGCACCCAGCTTATGTCGCTGCCTGTGTCGAGAACTACGTAGGCTTGACTCGGTGGCTCACCGATTCCGATTCTGGAGAAATACTCGCCGCTTCCTTGACTCGTTCCGGAGATGATGGGTCCGGAGAGCTTCTGTGGGTTGAAATTTGGATCTAGCTGAGTTAGTATGGAGTTGACTCGGGCTGAGTCGCGGGTGAGTCTGGATAATGTTAGAGATTTGTAGTTAGAATGTGAAAGTTTATGAATGGAAGCTCGTGAATGAAGTTGCATAGAAAAAGGTGATGATGAAGAAAAAGAAGAACCGTTTTGTTGTTGTTTAAGGTTTGGGTTAAAATTAAGAACTTGATATGTTTTTTGAATGGAAGAAACAACATCAAGTAATGTTGTTTTGGCATTGTGTGGTGTGTTTCTAGAATGTGCTAATGACAATAGGAAGATGAAGAGGATGAAGTTGAACAAAGAATGACCCATTGAATTGAAGTGAGGAAGAAAGTGAAATGAGTGTGTTTGGATGAATATGAGCATTGAGAGGAGTTCGTTTTTATATGTTAAGGAAAGTATTCATGAGAAGCTCAATGGAGAAGATAATAGTGATAGTTAAAACAAAGGGAAAAAGAGTGAGGTTTTGGATTAGGAGAGAGATGTAGTTTGGATATGTGAAGCTTGATGATTGGTATAGTTTATTAGCATATTATGTTAGAACTCTTTTCATTCTTGCTTTTCTTGGGTGTCATAGCCTTTGCATTTTGTTGTTGATAATAATTCTTATTTTATTGATTTCTTTATAATTAAGTATTCAATGTCACAAGATTCTTTCTCACATTTTGCATAATCATTTTGTTTCTCTTTTTATCTGGCTTGGAGACTAGTTTATTTGTATTGGGAAAACTAAAAGGAGCTTGTGATAATAACTCCACCTTTTTTGTGCTGTGTTTGTTAGGATAGTCTACTAGTAGTGTTGTTTAAGACTCGAGTCAACGATTAGTTTGTAATAAAATACAGTAAAGTTGATATAAATATAAATTCTTTATTTTATGATTGGAATACAAAGTGTTTTAGTATTTAGTTTAATTAGTGGATGATTAAGATTTGTGTTAAGTTTCTTATTCATAGTCATGAGGATACTAGTTCTCGCTGTGATTGTGGGCCTTTAGGTAGTTGTCCAAATCAGATAATAGTCATTAATTCATCGCTTTGTGGGGGTGTGTGTTAGAGTATTGACATATATGGATCAACCTTTATCGGAGAGACCATGTGAATAGATAGTTATCCATGTGTTTGGACTTTGGCTATGAGTCAAATAAATTTTTTTGGACGAAAATATTGTTGTATAAATAATTACACATTCAAAATTTTTTTATTTTTTTTCATTTCATTTTAAAAAATCGAGAGAGTAACTGTCGAAACTCTTTAAAAATATAAATCGAAAGACACCAGTGTTTTAAATCTAATTTATATTGTAATACTCCGAATAATCCATCAGTAAGTATTCTAGCTTACACGGAAAAAAAATAAAACTATCCGGATAACACAGGCGTGGATCTCCGATTTTCATAATTTCCAACACGATAACGTCTAGTCTTGTTATCATGTTCTTGTTTCCATATTTCGGATAACACGTTAATGCGTTATCCGGTTCTATTTTTTTAAAATTTATTTATTTATTTTCAGTGGTTCGCAAAAGAGGAGGTTCAAGCAAAAATAGTATGCAGCGAAGGGTTGAAGAATGATAATATCGACGGGCGGTGGACGATGCAAAAGTACTTACATATTTTATAACATATATACTATTGTACATCTCAGAAATATCAGGCCCGACAGGATAGTATAATCTGCAGAAAAGAAGGACTAAACCAGTAGTCGGCTCAATGGTGAAGGTACCCGGGGTGCAGTCCGACTAAAAAATAGTGGACGACTCACAAACACCCGAATATCAACCCATAAACATTTTGGACCCAGATAAGGATGATGGACGAGACCTGCCCACCCTTAATCGATCATCAACTTGACTCATTAATGCTTGTAACCTCTGACGGCACACTTATTACAGCGTTACACAACTTTTATCTTCTTCATTTATAGAGACGACGGCGGTTATAGAGTTATGGAACTCAGGAGTCACTCATTAATTGAGGCTCTTAATGACGCAAAAGAGACATACTATATAAGAGGCTCCCGACAGAGAAATAAGCAAGACATTCTTCTTGGGACACGCGTTTCACTAGCGTAGCTCCCAAATCCCCATTAATCAACAAAACCTACTTTTATGGCTTTCCCAATCTACAGCGGGAGGCGGGACGAATATTTGTTGGCGCCCACCGTGGGGCCTCGGTGAAATTATTCCTATGCCACACTCTGATCCATATTCAGTAGAATGCCATCGCCTGGAGACCCCCCAAACACGGCACAACTATTAGCCATGGTGGAGGCCCTCAGACAACAGAACGAAACTCTGCAAAATAGTGTAACATGCCTGTAACAAAGAAGTGTAAGGGGCGATGACCCAAAAGAGGAGCTTCTGGAACCCCAACCTCTCTCTCAAGTTATTTGGGATGATCAAGTCCCGAAGAACTTCAAATCACTGTCGTTGACAGCCTACGACGACAAAACTAATCCTCAAGAGCATGTTATTGCCATCAACAACCAAATGGCAATAATAGGCTCCACTGACTCACTAAAGTGTAAAATAATGACTGACACTTCAAGGACGTGACCCTGTGATGGTACATGAGCCTACCACGACTATCTGTGGAAAGCTACTCAGACCTGACGAAGAAGTTGATTTAACACTTCTCCGCCAAAAAGCGCCATAAGGTGTCCACGACATCCTTATTCAATGTCCGACAAGGTCAAGCGGAGTCTCTCCGAGAATACTTAACACAATTCAACAAAGAGACCATTAAAGTGTCTCATACCAACTAAGAGTTGTTCATTGGAGCATTCCAAGATGGTCTCTGAGTCGGGCAGTTCAACGAGTCCTTAGCACAGAAGTTCGTATCTGACATGAACAAAATCATTACCAGAGCATAATGCTACATAAAGGGTGAGGAGAGAAACTTGGAGAAACGATCTAGAGACACCCCGAAGAAAAGAAATATCAAAGAAGAAAGGCTATGAAGGAAGCAAGAGCGTTCATGTACGGCTTCAAGAGATAGACCCTGGGAGCGCACAACTCAAAGGCCTAATTGACGTCCCTTTGATTCAAGCGACGTGGGGACACCTCTGAACATAAGGAGAGGCGAAATTTTACATGAGGTAATACACCTGAATCTGATCCAAAAGCGCCCCTTAATAAAAAGGGAGTCAATGTCGTACTACGAAATGACGTTGGGGCTTGGTGTAACTATCATTGGCTCCGAGGACACCATACCGACGATTGCCTCCAGCTAAAGAAAGAAATCGAGACATTGTTACAGAGGGGAAACCTACAAAATTACGTAAAAGAGGGTAAAGCCCCAAATGGTAAAAGAGACACTCGGTAGAAAAATGCAGACTCAGAAGAACCTTCCCAAAAGAAAGGGAAGAGTATTGAAGAATTGAATGAGACCAAATCAGCTCGCCACGCCCTTAACACCATCATCGGCAGATTCGTTGGGGGCGGTGAAACTAGCTTGGCCATAAAGAAATACGCATATGCCGTAATGCACGCATCTGAGGACATAACCAAGGTCCGGGAACATAATTTAAACCCGATTAGCTTCTCCAAAAAATATGTGGTCGACATTATGGCCCACGAGAATAATCATATGGTCGTCAAGGTACAAATCCGAGATTGGAGCGTGAAAAGGGTGTTGGTGGATCCCGATAGCTTAGACGATGTACTCTATTGGGAAGCCTTCAAAGGAATGGAGTTTGACACATTTGAACTATTGTCCTTCAATGATACCTTTGTCGGATTCTCCAGAGAACAAGTGCAAGTATTGGGACACCTCCTAGTACTTACTACCTTTAGAAGCGACACAAATTCTAAAACGGTCAAAGTGAGGTACTTGATCGTCAATGAAATCTCACCCTATAGCATCATCATAGGAAGACCCTCCTTAAATTTCTTGGAAGCCACTCTCTCCACCCTGTACCTCACCATGAAGTACCCCTTGGGGAATGTCCGGGTTGGGGTGGTTAAAAGTGATCAAGGATTGGCCAGGAAGTGCTATAAAGACAACCTGAAGTTACAGAGGAAGATATAACCGAAGAACCCAAACGTTCCAATTAGCTAAAACTCAACATGATCGACATAGATCCTCGGGACAATGCAAGGGAAGAAAGCCTTTCTCCCTACGATGAAACAGAGAGGGTCCATATCAACACCACACCTTCTGAAATAACTTACATAGGATGCAATATTTCTCGGGAGGAGGAAACAGAAATCGTGGAGCTGTTGAAAGAGAACATTGACTTATTCGCATGGAAGCCCTTAGATATGCCTGGAATAGACCCCAACTTCATGTACAACCACTTAGCATTGAGTCCTGACACCAAGCTGGTGTCCCAGAGGAAAAGGAAAGGTGGAGAAGAAAATAAGAAGGCTGTAAAAGACGAGGTCGAGAAGTTACTCGAAGCCAGCTTCATCAAAAAAATAAAATATCCTACTTAGCTAGCCAATGCAGTTATGGTCAAAAAGAAGACAGGGAAGTGGCGCATGTGTGTCAACTTCACGAATCTCAACAAAGTGCGCCCTAAGGATCCGTATCTATTACCATAAATAGACCGACTCATTAACAAAACCTCAGGGTACAGAATGCTCAGCTTCATGGATGCCTACTCGGGGTACAACCAAATATGTATGAGCTTGACTGATGCATCAAAGACTGCCTTCATGACAGATCGGAGCAACTACTATTACGAGATAATGTCATTCAATCTCAAGAGTGCAGAGCCACCTACCAACAGTTAATGGACAAGGTATTTGCCACTCAAATCGGTAAGAATCTGGAAGTATACGTAGACGACATGGTCATCAAAACCACTATTGAGAAACGACATGTAACGGACTTGAAAGAAACACTAGCATCCATAAGGCGGTACCTCATGAGGCTTAACCCAGAAAAACATATCTTTGGAGTTCAAGCTAACAAGTTCCTAAGGTTCATGCTCACTAACCGTGGATTAGAAGCCAACCCAGACAAATGGCAGACGATTATTGACATTTGTAGCCCATCTTCAAAAAAGAGGTACAACAACTAACAGGAAGGTTAGCTGCTTTGTCTCGATTTCTGTCATGCTCCGGAGATAGAGCGGTACATTTCTTCGTGGCCCTTAGGAAGTCAGAAGAATTCAAATGGACGACAACATGTGAGAAAGCCTTTCAAGGAGTAAAACATTTCCTATCCTCTCCACAATCCTGACGAGATCGGGGGAGAATGCACATTTGATCCTATATCTGGTGATTTTTAAAAAATCCATGAGTTCAGTTCTCGTTCAGGAAGGGGAAGATGGTGAAAAGCCGATGTACTTCGTTAGAAAAGTTCTGA